ACTGTATGTATTTCTGGAAGGATAAGTGGATGGGTTGTAGCCCGCTGCTGGAGATAATTTTCTGGCGGTAGAGGATCTCACCGTAGACAAATATTGGCTTCGAGGTAGAGGCTGGGACGGGGAGAAGTTGCGGGTTAATCTGCCGGAAGACATTCTAGCAAACCTTCTCCATTTTGCGGTTGATGAGAATTGAACGTGATTAAAAGGGATGATATATACTGGGAACATGAAGGTTCGGGCACTTTCTCGGTAGCCTCTGCTTATACGGCTGCATGCGTGGAGTCCAATACAGATTTGGAAGGCAATATGGAAGCAGAGAGTTCCGAACAAAGTCTGTACCTTCCTATGGCTCCTCTGTCACCAACGCATTTTATGCAATGTGGAAAGGGGGAGACGGGGCTTTACAACTGACGGTTCGTGTGCTCACTGCCCGGATGTTGATGAAGATCCCGACCACATTGTAAGAAAATGCACTTGGGCTAGGGAAGTATGGAGGCATCGATCTGGTGATTCTGGTCCCTACAATCGAGATCACTGGGAAAGTGGTGCGTTTGTCGACTGGCTGCGCTGTAATTTAACCGTAAAGCCAGGCGTTTATGGGCGAAAGGACTGGGGTGCATTGTTTTCTCTCACGCTTTGGTTGTTGTGGAGATGGCGGAATGCGGCTATCTTCTCAAACGAGTCCTGGGAAACTTCCAGGAAAATCCTTTTCGTTGAGGATAAAGTGGCTGAGCAGGCCGGTTGCTGCCTTTGAACAAAAGTCACCAGGAAACCATTTGAGAAGTTTCAGAAATATGGATGGTGTGGCTGTGTCTTCGGTTGTTCAGGAGTGGGAGGTATTGAACACTGATGCCTCCTTCAAATCAGGGAATGAGCCTGCGGGGTGCGGAGGGGTTCTTCGGAACAGTAGATCGAGGCGACTGGATTGCGGGGTTTAGCCGCATGCTGCGTGTGAATCATTGCGCCGAGGGAGAAGCTTGGGCCATATATATATATTCTGCCCTTCATTGGGCATGGGAGAGAGGTGTCCGTAAGCTTTGGATTCGCAGCGATGCCCAGGACTGGATTAATGGGGAAGCAACGCTGCTTGGCCCTGTCAATGGTATTGTTCGTGTCTGCAAGGAGTGCATGAGTAGGGACTGGTTGGTGCCTGTTTCCTTTTGCCCCCGTGAGGAGGATGTGTTAGCTAAGGAAGCGGTTTACCACGGTTACAATTGGATTGAGTTTGTGAGGCCACGGGATAATATTCGGAATGACCTTGAGCATGACAAGAGAATGGTTGGTGCTTTCTTTTCTGATGTAAGAGCCTGGCTTTAATCTGGCTAGGGTATCCCCTTCCTTTTTCCCCAAAAAAAAAAAAAAAAAAAAAAAAAAAAAAAGTAAGTGGGTAGTGTGTAGAAAGGGTTGTTGGAAAAAAGGCTTGAAATCTGTAATACATATACAACAATAATACAGAATACAACCGAGAACAAAAACTGGATCATTTGATATCTTCAGGCGTGTAATCACTTTCCTATAAGCTTTAAATCTCCCTCTATAAAAGCAACAAAGTTCAAGATTTAATCTTATGGGATACAAGAAGACGAATGAAATTCTTAAGTTGCTTTGTTTAAGAATTTCCTGAGATGTAAGTCTGTGAAGTATCTTGGTTTTCTGCAAAATAATTGCTTGTAAAAAATGCATCACCTCTCAGATGCTTCTCCAAACTATTTATAGATGTAAACTATATCTGTTTGGAGAAGTTACATGGAAGTCGCTGTGATTTAAAACTCAACTTCCATAAGATAAAGATATATCCTGAATGATATATCCATCACTGGAGAAATAATTAAATTTATTTTGAGTCAATAACTGTATGCAAAATTATATATATATATAGGCGAGTTCAGGTGCGGCAGTGTCTAACGGTGCGGCGATTTCTTACGGTGCGGCAACACCAATAGTTCAACAAATATGCACCATCAACGTTAGGAACATACACCACACAAAACAGAGTAAACAGAGCCCTGCATCACCAAACACACACCATTAGGTGTGATCGTAAAAACACCATACACTGTTCGGAAATACACCATTGGGGGTGGTGAGTTATATGGTGTATTTTTCTGAGTCTGTTGTGTATTTTGTGATGTTTTATTGCATTTCATTGTGGTGTGTCTTTATTACACTGTTGGTGCATATTGTTAACACTGTTGGTGTATTCTGGAATTTTGCCGCACCGCCGCACGGGAAGACCCCGCCACATTTGAACTTTATTATATATATATATATATATATATATATATATATATATATATATATATATATATATATATATATATATATATCAGGGTTGCAAAAATACCGCCTAGGCACCGAGTAATCGGCGCCTAGGCGCTAGGCGCCCCTAGGCCGTGGCGATTTCCTCCCTAGGCTCCCGCTTAGGAGACCGGCCGCCTAGGCGCCCGCCTAGCGCCTAATTTGGCCGCCTAGCGCCTAACTCGGCCGATTACGCCGAGTTAATTCGTCAATTTCTGTCGAGTTAGCCGAGTTAACCCGGCCGCCTAGGCGCCCGCCTAGTGCCTAATTTGGCCGCCTAGCGCCTAACTCGGCCGATTACGCCGAGTTAATTCGTCAATTTCTGTCGAGTTAGCCGAGTTAACCCGGCCGACTCGACCTTGTCAATTTTTTTCATATATATATATATATATATATATATATATATATATATATATATATATATATATATATGTATGTATGTATGTATGTATGTATGTATGTATGTATGTATGTATGTATGTATGTATGTATGTATGTATGTATGTATGTATGTATAATATGACATATATGCACCTACACACGTATACTGTTTTTCATTTTTTCAGTTAGCCGCCTAGGCGACCGCTTAGGCCCCGCCTAGATCGTCTAGGCGCTAAGCGCTAGTCTACCGCCCGACTAGCGCCTAGCGCCTATTGCAACCATGCTACATAGTAATATATTTTAAAGGAGTTAATACCCAAAATTGTCCTCGACAATAGTGGTTGTTCTCAATTTTATCCTAAGCGACTTTGATGTCCTAAACTAGTCCCAGACTTTTGTGTTATTACTCAATATTGTCCTCCGTTATATAATCTGTCAAATGAGTGTTAAGTATAGGGTTAAATATGTAATTTCAATTTTGGTCTTCTAGGGATCTCCTTATTTCACCGCGCCAAAAGGGTCAAAAATATTTTGACCGAGAATTCGCCAAGCAATAATTCGACAATCTCTCTTTATTCGACAAAAATACTTTGACCCAGGGGCTACGACTGCAGTCTGCTCAAGCAATCTGTGTTCCTCAGAAATTCGCCAAGTAAATTTGACAATCTCTGCTTATCAAATTCGTCAATCTGTGTTCATGTTTTACCAATTTCACCAATCTGTGTTCATGGGTTTATCAATTTCACCAGGTAAATTCGCCCAACAAAAACCCTAAGGAAGCAAAGCAAGTTTCTTCCCTACATTACAATGGATTCAATGCGACGAAAAAGGGGGCGAAGGCACTCCGAAATATGGTAAGCATTTTGGTAATTTTGTTTGTGTGAGCTTATATATGGATTATGAATATGGTAATTTTCTTTTATGCGATTATGAATTTTCTGTTATGAGATTATGAATTTACAGTACATTCATAATCTCATAACAGAAAATTCATAATTTGACCAAACGCGCGCCGTTAACACCACATTAGCGATTTTTTTTTTTTTTTACGTTAAAACGACGTCGTTTGGACCCGTGTTCACCACACATGGTGAACACGTTTCCAGGGCATAATTTGCCAACGATCCTCCCTTGGTCTAGTGGATCCCTTTGTCACTGGACCAAGGGGGGAGAAATTCCCCATTCATCAAAATTTTTTAAACGAACTTGCCATTACGAAGTTTTTTTAATTTAAGAAAAATTAGATAATAGTATTCACAGTAAAAAAAAATTTGAATACTATTGACTCTGTTACAATGAAGTATTTGTTCATAACATTTTTCACAGTAAAATATTTTCCTCAAGAATGAAGAAAACTTTTTCCTTAACTTACCATTAATATTTTATTTTTCATAAAAAACTAATAAGACAATTTTGCCCTCACCAAGTTTTTTTAATAATAATAATAATACTTATTATTATTATTATTATTATTATTATTATTATTATTATATAGGAATATATTTGTCTTTATACTCATTATTTCTTACAATTCCAAATCCAACCAAACAGTGGAATCAATATTCACCAAAAAAAAGAAGAAAAAAAAATCACCAATCAAACAATAAAAAAAAGAAGAAAAAAAAATCACCAATCAAACAATGTAATTAATCTTCTCAATAATTTATTCCATAAAATTTCAGTTTCATTCCTTATTTTCCGCCCGCAAACCAAACAGCAAGCAGTCAAATAGTTCCCTCAAACACTCCGTAATATTTTTCCCCCAACCCACCCCTTATGTTCAAAAATGTTCCCTCTCACTATGGTCCTAAAACTGAGGGTGTAAAGCTTAAATATAAGCAAGTAATACTTGGGTATTCCTTCAATCCATGGGAGGCTGGGAATTATAGACAGAGTTGTGGCAGGATGGAAATCCAAATCGCCCATTCCATATTACACCATGCAAACAACTATGGTACCGGGGGGAGTAATAACTAGTTTGGGGCAGAATAGAAGGAGAAGTGGTATGTACTAACAAGAAACAAGGCTCACTGCTGACGGTGGGTTGGGGATCAGGAAACTTGATTTGATGAACCAAGCAGAGGGAGAAGCTAGAGAGGCTCTGGGCTAGAGGGCAGACTGCTCAACATGGAAAGCCAAAAGGAAACATGTCTAATGTCTGGAGGCATTTTGAGGCCACTGAACCAAGAGATGGGCAACATGAAAACTATAGTTTTCGATTTCCTCAGCTTAGATGCTGGCTGCTGCTGCCAACATTTGGAAATTAAAGATAGGATCATGACTAAAGATAATGACAAGTGCAGCCTGTGTGTCAATTCGACTGAACATAACTTAAACGCCTTTTTGCCAAAACATTATTTCAACACATATTTTTCCTATCCAAATTCAAATAAAATCCAACACAGTTGTTAACATGCGTATTTAGTACAAGCAACATATCCATATTATTTTCTTCCTTTAACAACTCGCTGGCCTTTACAACATATCCAAATTCTCGGCCATAAAGATGACATGCTGCCGCTGCCTTGTAAGTGAGGAGCTCTGTATCACCTGGTGCAGAAAACTAAACTCTCAACTACTGAAAATTGAATTATAGCAGAGCCGCAAAGGAAATGGTAGGGGGTTTGGAACCTTAGTAACCAATTATGTCAAACACGATGATACCTGAAGCAATATCAGACACAAGTATGCTCTGCTTGAAGTGACGGGTAAGCCACCATTTGCAACGAAACCTCCAAGATTTTCCTGATTCCGGAATGATGAATATTTCTGGAACACGACTAATATAACCAGAAAATTTTGGCTTCAGTCCATCACCATTAAAGCAGATCGATGCACTGTCTCCTTCAATTTGGGAAAGCTTCAGTAAGCACGATGCAAAATCGCTCCATGTGTTGCTTTTTGCATATATAGCATCTAAGTTTAAAGCTATCATTTCCACCAGCATTTCAGTGCTATAGTCCCCTGAGGTTTAATTGCAAACTTGGAGAATCAATGTGATGTACATCACAATGCCTCATAAAGAAATACCTCTCAAAAATCACATACCTCTTTGATGTAAGTTGGTGAGCCATCCCAATGAGTGGCTACAGATGGGGTCTTTTTTTAATATATCCTCAAAGCATGTAGCAAGTTTGGCATGGTTGTTGCCATCAAAATGCTCCAAGAGATGAGCCTTCAGTCTGCAAATCAGAATCCAAATATATACACAAAAAACATATGAATAAAACGATAAATAAATCTCTGGCTTGTGCAAATCTTCTAGTCTAGGCATGATATGAGCAATGAGATGTGATGGTGCACTGATATAGCTGGGTTGGATATAACAATATAAGCAGATCGAATGTCAAGATGTCATGTGATCATTGAAGTTATCTATGTCCACTATGCTCAGCCTACCATATCTTATAGATACCCACCTTCTGTACTATTTAAAGGGGTTATTGTAAAAGAATGAAGCCAACTTAGAAACTGAAGTGAGATGAAAAGTAATAGCAACACTACTCTGTTGTTTTTTTAAAGGCAAGACAATGGTAGAGGCGTAGAGCTAGTGGATTCTTAGGTCGACCAATTAACCCAATGGTTATTTTCCTGCATTGCATTTTCCATATAAACTTCATCATGCCATTTCCGTTACTGCACTCATTATTTGCTCATAAACACATTTACTAACCACCTAAACACTTAAAATCTACACCATGGTTAATACTGGAAAATTGTGTTTCAACAACATGACAGAAAATGAAAATGATAAAAGTAAATTTCAAACCTACCACTTGAATACAAGATTAGGCTAGTAGTGAACATCTTTTGAGAAGGATAAGTTACAAACGACGACGACAGAGAAGTTTCAGAGCAGAGGGCGAAAGGGAGGCAAAGATAAAAGGCTGTGCAAGAATACATAATGTCTCCAAAAACAAAAGTAACACCATTACCATACCAGAGAAGAAACAGAGAAGAAATAGACTGAAACAGCAATTCAAGTATCAAGGATACCCGTAAAAAGAGTGAGCCACATTCATTAAATCTAAGACTTCTCTAAAATGTTGCAACGTAAATTCTACAGAGCAAATATCACTTTAGCAACTAACAACTACAGCAACACCCATAGTGTTTCCAAGATCTGCTGCAACAGTACACGAATGTCAAGACATCTAATTACACAACAAAATTTTCAATCCTGTAATTATCTTCTCAATTGTTTAATTGTATTTAGTCCACTTATGTATAGCTACATTTTCATGTCCTCTCAGCTTTTGCATGATGTTGACAACAATCACTAAGAAAAATAAATAACTAAAGAAAATAAGGAAAGGGTTAAGGGGATATTATCACCTCAAATGGAGTACTGTACTTGAGTCAGGAGAAAACTTTTCAACAATATCAAGAGCCTCTTTAACCTTATCCCCAAGCAACAGCAGCTGAAAAGATAAAATCAAACCATTATGCTACCATGATTATATTTTAGTGCACAAACACCTAAAGTTCCTTTGGGTGTTATTTGTACTGTTCTTTTTCCATTTAGTCTTGTGCAAAAAAGCTTGTCTCACTAGTCACTAGCATACATATGATAAAATGCACTAAAAGAAAGGATTGATTAAGCCAAATTAAGAATAAAAGCATTGTGCCTTTGCCTCTAGGTGAAAGTAGGAAATTGTGAGTCATGAAAGGCCAAAAGCAATCAATTTGAAATGCAATGCTTAATGTCTATATACAACAGGGCAGGCACTGCAAGCATTACAAAGTAGTAGCAAAAGAAATGTATGAATACAAACTACAAAGCACTGGTTGTGTCAGATATTCTGTCTTGATGTACAATTTTTCAAAAAAAAAAACTAACACCTTTTTCTACTTCCGAAATGAGGAAAGGGTAAAGACTAAAGAAGCAAGAAAAGAAGCTAACTTGAAACATTTGATTCAATATTACACAAATCATATGTATAAAGTGTCTAAATTACCTGAATCAGAGGATGAAAAGCCTCAAGTGCCGGTGGCATTGAGTTGACCGCATGGCTTAAAAACTTTACCGCATTGTTATACTGATCATTGCGCAATTGCTTATGCATATCATATAATTCCTCTAAATTATCCAATTGAGGCAATTGTATAGGCAATAGGCATGGTGGCAGACCTATAATTGAGAGAAACTATTACAGCGTTTCTTATAACTTGTATACATCTAATGTTCCGCATCCAAAAAGAAGCAAACATATGATATTATGATGTAGGTGAACTAGAAAGGCAACCTCAATATTAGAAAGAGCTTTAAAGTGTCAAAATGCATCTAAGCCGTTAGCAGTAATAGGAAAATAATTTCACTCACCATGAACAAAGAAAGTTGAGAGGGACGGGGGAGAATTGCTGCAATTTGAGTTCTCATGTTCACTCCTCTCAGTAGAGTGCATAGAGACATCTTGTGGCTGGAAACCATCAGGGTCCACCTTTTGTTCAGGATTGTTGTCAATGTCCATGGGACCTTCTCCATGTTGGTTGACATCAGCATCCATATTGTCTTTATCATTCCGAACAGAGGTGTTGGAATCACATTGTACCAATGAATTAGTTTCTTGACCTTCAGGGGCATCATCTCCCCTTGAATCCACAATTGACATGCACATGTTGTCTTTCAATGTATCCCATTGCATGTTGCTTCCAAATTCATTGTGTTTATCCAACTGCATCTCTTTTGGAAGAGAAGAATACCATAATTCATAAAATGTCAACCCCACAACTAAATTAGAAACTGGGTCACCCTCAAAACCATGCTCCTGCATTAGACTGATGAAACCATGGCATCCATATGCAAAATCAACAAGTTTAGATACTTCTCAAACTCATTTGTAAATTCTAACTTTTCAAATTCAGCAGTAATTGTCATATATCTGGTATAATAAGAAGTTAGCAAATGTCAAGAATTATACCTTAAAGCAGCTTGATATGAACCATCCATCTCCTTACTTGTCAAACAAAAAAGGTTGTGTTCCAACTGAACTGCAACTCTGTGCTGCCAAAGGTTTCAGTTCCATATTAAGGTATGATCAATATTTAGCTTGTAAATACTTACAATAGTAGACATATTCAAACTAAATACTTGTATTAGTTCCACCAGAATAGCATGCATAAGAGTAGGGGCGGATCCAGAAAAATGGTTGAGTGGAGGCGAAGTTTAAATAATAAAAAATGTCTATAAGTTTATAACAAAATGTTAAGCATCAAGACCTTCTGCGAAACATTAAAACAAAAGGGATAACTTTAAAAAAAATAATAAAACACTTAAGAAGTAAGCCATAAATATTGTTAGATATGAGCGAAAAAAAAACACATCAAAACTTTATAAAAATACTTATAACAAAATATAAAACATAATTAATTTGATAAAATAATTCTAATAGAAAACACATTATAAATTACACATCTCATTATTAATAAACTGCGTTCTTTGAAAGCCTCGCCATTATTCAAATAGCTATAAAAGCTGTGTTCAAGCCATAAGGCATGGTTTACCGTCTAGGCTGACTCATTTTTTGTTAACTTTTGCTGTTTTCTTTTACTTATACTAAAACTGTGTACTATATATATACATATATATATATATATATATATATATATATATATATATATATATATATATATATATATATATATATACAAGGGTTATATATGGGGTGGGGGTGGGATGAGGTGGGGCAGCTGCCCCCACTGTCCCCATGCTAGGTCCGCCCGTGCATAAGAGTATATAAAAGAAATTATACAAAACAATGAACAAATCAACCTCCAAGTTTTAAATTTTGCATGTACAAAATCATCAGGGGCTTTGTGTGACACAATGAATGCAATACTTGTGCAAAAATGATTGATCAATGCTTCTTTCAGGGTACACTCAAACACAATCTATTCCTAACAAAAAATGCATCATAAGGAAAAAGGATGAGCAAAAGTTTGTTTTATCTTTACCTTCATTGGCCAATTCTTCATAGGCCCAAGCTTTGTCATCCATAGCCCATATATATTCTGGATCTTTTTTGAGCTGATGATAGAGTCACCCTTTATATGTCTGAGAATTTCCAAAGTAGCCTAAAATATTATATGGATACATAAATTAAATCAAGAGCTCCACAATGCATGAAAACTAAATCATGACCACCACAATGTTTATTTAATAAGGAATAGAAAACAAATAAACATTTCAAATTCGAGAATTTTTTTAAACAAAAGAAATTTCTTTAAATTTAGTCTTAAAAAAAATACAACAAGGCAATTAAAAACGGAATTTACATACAAACTATTAACCAAATGCAACTGTAAATCAAAAATAGAATTTAGAAATAAACTACATACAACTTACCGAGAACTTAGCCCGAGTCTTTGAGATAGCTATTTCTTTAGAAGTCCCTTTATGAAGCAAACTCAACACTCCACTTGCCTCGGCCCAGTTGTGCCGCCGCAGCAACACCAGCAGTAGCCGCCGCAATTTCTTCCGGTGTTGAGAGCGTAAACTAGTGAGATCTCGTTGTAAGCTTCCAATGCCACGCTTCAGGCAATGGCAGGGCTTGGCCTTGGCTAATATCACACTGTTGATTCTCCTGGCCTCTGACAACAAATTCGGGGAAGATTTAAGATCATCATGCGGCCGCATGCGAACCCTCCGTTTTGGGTTCTCAATTTCGGCTTTCCATTCTTCGGCTTCCATTGATTGAGAACGGAAAGAACTAGCAGCAACTGCAGTCTGCAAGCAAATTAGGAAAATTACCACAAGATTACAAATACTGCATTTCAATTAAAAAAAAAAAAAAAAATGGCCTAAAGACTAAAGAGACATGCAGCAGAGTGGCACCACCGCACCAGGGGTTTGAAACAGCTGTGATAGATGGTGGCAGTGGCAGCAGCAGGTGTTCCAACTTCTCAGCAAATGTAAGGCAGAGGCAGAAGCAGAGGGGCAGCGGTCCGAGCTGAGGCAAAAAATAGAAGTGAATTTTCCCACCCAATTGCACTTTCCAAATCCAGTATATAACTTCAACAGTACAGATCAGACCACTTAGGCAGAAGCATTAATACACGCTGGAAAGATGAACGGAAATTATTACAATTAATATCCATTAATACATGTTTAAGATTACAAATGACTGATACAATCTCCAACAAAAACTTCATTAGAGATGAATTTAAGATTTAAAAAATCCATTAGTACATGCTTGTGACAAAAAGGTGGAATCGCCCAACCCGGACACCTCCATTAGTACATGCTTGGGATTACAGATGGCTGATAGTCTCCAACACAAACATGAAAATTCATTGGGGAAGAATTTAAAATTCAAATCGTAACCTTATGAATAAAAAAGAAAATAAGCTAGGTCTGAAATTTAGATACATCCTAACTATAATAAAGCCAAATAGATTTTGGCCAAAATTCCCGCCCAACCATTACGACGCCGTTTTGTTTTGTTTTGTTTTTTTTTTTTTTTTTGTTTTTTTTTTTTTTTTTTCTGTTTCGCAAATCAAATGGGAGACGTGTGTTAGGCCTGAAATTTAGGGGAGTGGGCTATTGGCTATTGCGTGTGAAATTACTTTTTTTTCCCTGTTTCACAATTCAAATGGGAGACATGTGTGTTAGGCCTGAAATTTAGGGGAGTGGGCTATTGGTTATTGCGTGTAAAATTAGTCTAAATGGGTATGGAAGTGTTAAAGTACAAATATTGTGTATTATTTTATATACATTACCCAGCAGACTTCTACACCTATACATCTACACATATAGACCATTTGCTTATATATAGAAAAGGGTTACAAGGAAATAAAAAACGAGTGCTGCAAATCCTGCAATCTGCTTTAGATGCTTCAACTGTAAAGCACAACAATTGAAGCTTGATGTCTAGCCAGTTTGTTCTTGGGTCTCAAATTCATTTTTATCACACCCGAAATGTCATGAGTACTTTTAGAGCACACATATGAGCTGTCTAAATCAAGAATAAAAAAACAATCAAAAGCATGAAATGCTTATTTCATGGAAAGTAAGTCTTTGCTATTCGTCTTGCATTTCAGAGTTGTTGCTTTTTTATTATTCATCTTAGTTGAAATATTGTGTTCTGTAGATTGTGAGGTTTGCTACAAAATTGGATTTCACCATACTTTCAAGGAGTTTGTTGAGTTTAAGAATAGGTCAGTGTTAGTGCACTACTTTTTTTTCTCTACAAAATATGTGGTAGGTGTGGTTGAGAGGGGAAAATATTACTTAGAAAGGGCATATATAGAGATGAAAATGAATGAAGTGAATGTGTCTGTGGACTTCCGACAATGAATAAGTTGGCTGATGAAATTGTCAATAAACAAAAGTAATGTTCAATTAATATGTACTCTGCTTGTTTTTCATTTCTCTCTGTGTGGTGGGGTAGTAGGATAATTTTTTTTTTTTTTTTAAAAAGATCTATCCAATGATTGAAAGTAGTTACTCCAAAGAAGACCTCATTCTCATGACATTCGCCTTTTTCTTTTATGGATTATGGAAGAGAGGATACGCTGATAGGGGTAGTAATGACTGGGATTTGATCTAGGTTTAGTTTTTCTATAAAAAAAAATTTAAAATTGTGTTGAAAATTATAAATCTAGGGTAGAAATGTATAGAGATGTTTGGTTCTTTTTTATTCTGTTTTATCTATTCACATGTATTATGATAAAATCCATATTATTATTTTAGGTAGGAACAATGGTGTTAGGAGACACAAAAAAAAATGGCATTAGACTCCTTTATCATCACTTGCTAGCAACTTTCAATTGTTAGTGTTTTTGCTTTTAAAATAAATTAAATTTAGAAAAACTCTATATCTTTTGTATAATTGAGTAGGTTACAAGTTACACAATACCCAATACACACAATCTATTCACTTTCCCCATACAGCAAGCCCTACTACCATGCAGTAATAATTGATAATACACTATAGTAATAAATATTGAGTTATGACATTCAAGAAAGAAATATGTGCAATGCATATTCATTTTGAAGCAACAACTTTTTCATCTGAATAGTTAACAGAGACAAGCAAAATGAAAAGGTTGAAGGGATCAACTACCATAGGGAGAATGTTGAAGATAAAGGTATCATGAAAGCATACCTGGTGTGCTAGATTTGACTATTTTCCTGCTTTGCTTTCTATGAGACTTAATTCTGCACCATATTTTGCATAGTCAATGATACACAGATGTTAGGAAATGTTTTTTTTCCCTTATTTTGTTAGTCCTTAATTATTTTCCATTCCCATTATGCATGCTTAAAATTTATTTATTTTCTCTTATATTCTACCATTGAATTGTTATTTGTAATTGTGTGATTTTGTCTTTTTGTGTGGTGTATATGTACATGCAAAGAAAAATATATCAATTATAAAAGAAATTACATTTTAACGGTTCGTGTTTCCTGCAAATCTCAGTTGAATTTTCTCCGTCAGTGTCCAAGATTATGAGGGAAAATTTCATACAGAGAATAGAAGTGTCAGATTTTGCATCTGAAATCATAAATCCTAATTAACAATTTAATCAAACTGGGCAGAGATTGTCCACAATACAGTATACAAACTATAGAAAATAAAGAAAAAGGGTGTTTACTTGCTTTCCGGTCAGACCTGTTGGTCTTTGGTGACGCTCCCTCATCTTCTACCTCTAATTGACTATGACTAAGCTCTTAGAGATGTACTCAGTCAGACATTTCTGTAGTATTTCCTCCCGTCGTACTGATTGGTGTAAATAAGTGATCGCCGGTTTTGCCAATATGTGTGTTTGTGAAATAAAACTGGAAAAAATGAAATAAAAAAGGGTGTTAAAAATGGAGGCATCAAGATGAATTATCATCCTGGAGCAAAAGGCGTCAACTTCACCAGACAAAAAAAATAAAAAAGAAACAACGAATTGAAGCTCTGTAGTTGCAGCTGTGGTACGGTTTCTAAATTGGTAGAGAGAAGGCAGAGGAAATGCTTTCAGACAGAGATGGGTGGATTTGCGTAGGATTAGGGTTTGGGGTTGATTTTATATGTGGGCTTTTAATGGTTTTGGGTTGGGTTATAGATTGGGCTTCTTGCTTGGGCTAAAACAAAATGTATATATTAATATGTATAGTTTTGACCAGGATTAGTAGTAATTATTATGTGTAAACTATTTTTTGTATACAATACAATCAATACACAAATAATGTACTTTTAGTACATAAAAATTTGCTTTCTTTTATGGTCCATACAATATTATGTGAACCATGATCTACACAATAATTTGTCATTTAGTAAATATGATTTATTTTAAATAAAAAAATTATATTTTATATGTTTTTAATTTTTATGCTTTATTATTGTAATACTTATATACTTAATAATGTTAATTAAGAATGTCTTGTGATTTTATTTATACTCAATTGATGTAGAAAATATTGATGGCCAAGTGCACCCCAATATTTTATGTTTTTATTTAAATCCTATTTCAATAGGCTATAGCATTATGATACCACATCTTTCAAAATACATTATATATATACAAAATTCTAACTGTGCATCGCATGGGTCACGGGTGGAATACTAGATAATGATCATGCAGGTACTATGGTGTTGGTCCCTCGAATGGCTATAACATTAACAGATCTAAGATTGTCATTCAAGTTTAAGAGAAGACAATTCTCATTAATGTTTTTATATGCAATGACTATAAATAAAAGTCATGACAAACGTTATCCCATGTTGGATTGCTACTCAATAAGTCAATTTTTATACACGAACAGTTATATGTAGGTCCACCTAGAGTAAGCAATTCTAAAAGTCTCAAGATTTTGATTTGTAATGAGTTAGGCGATATTTATAATTCAACCACTAATATAGTTTACAAAGAGGTCTTTGATAATTTCTAATTTAAAATAATTTCAGATTTTATAACACGTACTAATGCTTGTTACTTTTTTTGAAAACCTAATGTTTATTACTTAGTATGTTTAAATCTTAAATTTAAAATCCTACAAGAATTGTAATATCCAAATAAAAAAAGGATTATCTTATAATAAACAATAATAAGTTCATTAATGTTAAAATTTTAATCCGTGCATCGCACGGGTATCATACTAGTGTGCTCTAAAGGCAAATTAATTATGATAAAGTTAACGACATGCATTGTTAGTTTGTTACAAACCATAACCGTAGTAAAAATTTAGCAGAACGAAACAAATAACTAAAATCAAAACAACAAATTGGGCGATATCCAAAATTGGAGTCTAAAAACGACAGGACGTAATAGGTGTAGGTGTTTCGGTATTCGTTTTTTTTTTTTCAGTTTCGATTTTGGTATTTCGGTTTTTAAAAAATGATACCATTCGGTTTGACATTATAATTCGGTTCAGTTTGAAAAAGTTCAGTTTCGGGGAATTAGTTCAGTTCGGTTTAAAAACCCCAATTTTCTACATTTCGTAATTTTCCAAACATAGTGGCTGGAATTTTTCAAATTAGATTATGTTATCCACTTCCATCTGTGGAGATGAGTAATCACAAATAGAAGTTATAAATAAATGCATTTCTTTATGTAAACTAAACTCTTTGGATGAATGCCATATACAAAGCTGATGAACAAAGTAAATTAACTGACTGTTAATGTAATGATTGGCAAACAACAGTCACTACACGACAAATTATTAGGTTAATTTTTTCGTTTTAATGAAACCCTAAAATTATGAGTAACAGTTAAGCAAAATTATAATACAACATATACGAATCGACTTTCATCAAATATTTAGTCGTGTAAATGCTCCGCAGTCCACACAACATAATTGGATCATTGTTAGAACTCTACTAGACTACTACAGAACAGATCGAGAAAACATACATACTGAAAAATGAAGAGCCCAATGGTACCATTTTTGTATTCTTTGAACTTGAAGGTTGCCCAATAAAGAGCTTTTCAGCTCTTGCTTTGAGAGAGGTAGAATTTAAAATAGAGAGTGGCAAGAAGCAGCAATTCATCATGACAGATATATGTACTTCTTTGAGAGCATGTAATAGTATGTACTCAGTCTTTTTTGAGTTAAATCTTTCTTAAATCCTCGATTTTTTAGGAATAAAATGTTAGATGAGTGATATATCAAACATTTTTGCATTTGTAAAATATATCAAACAAGCACAACACAGGACAATCATATTAGATGACTGAGAAAATACATACATGTGCTATATAAAGATTTTCTGTTTTATTACTTCCCTTAGTTGCCTTAATGTCTAAAATGTTATTTTATAGTAAGGCATTAGATGAGAGGAACCTAAAGTCCTAAACCATAGTAGAGCATTTTTGTAGTACTCTTATTAAAATACTATATAGTAACATAAATTTGCAACACATATTATTGCAGAAAAACAGTATTTTTTTGAATTTTTATTTAAAAAGCTAACATTATATTTTACTAACTGATTTCCTACACTTTTATTTTTTTAACAATATGAATTTGTTAGGTACTAATCACTGCTTTGAATTTTAATATTTTATAGGGAATAAAATTAGTTTTTAAAACTATAGTAAATAGTAAATTTTGTATACTGTATTCATTAAAACTAAAATTAGTCACAGAAAATTTTATATGAGTTATTCATCAAAACTAAACTTAGATTTTCCACTTTAATAATACGGAGTTACTGATCAATGAAATTCCACACTATATGGGTTATGGTAAATTCAACTAATAAGCAATTGAGGCATACACAAGAAAGAGATTTACTTCATGGAAGTCTAGCAATACTTACTTGACAGTAGTATGGCAGGTGTCACCTAAGCTTTTCAACTCATTTATACTCCCAATAGAGTATAATTTTATCCATTAGATCCTATATACGCCGTAAGTAATTTATAAGTGAATACAATTTTAAATCCAATTAGCATATTGTAAACAAGGTAAAAAGTAGTCTATTATAGTTAAATGAGTACATATTTCATAAAATGTTCATCATCCACTCATAGGACTTAAATAAATCACACAACTTACTTTCTAAAAGACTTTTACTATTAAAAAAATAAAGAGACTTTGTATATTTGAAGCTATCTGATATATTTAATTATTCGTATAAAACTATTCGAATTCCAATAAAAAATTGAATATTACATGCTAATTTCAATTCAACCACAAGCTATAAATTGACTAGAACTGTGATAATACAAATCTATTACCACTTCAAACCAAAATTTTACTTGATAAAAACAGCCCGTTGAGAGCAATCTTTCAACAAGATATGAAGAAATTGACAACATCTACAATTATAGGAAATAAATGGAAGGAAAAATTCAACTGGACTGTTTTCTCAAAGATTTCTATTCTTCTAAGACCTCTGTTTTGAATGAAGCAAACAAATCACGGCTGCGGAGCGGCGAGTCGGTGGCGTCGTTCCTTGCTGGAGGCTAGAGCGGCGCGGCTGGACGCACAGCTGCTTGATGCTTGTTGGAGAGGGGAGGTGAGAGTAGTGCTGTCAATACGGGCTGGCGGGCGGGCCGGGCCAAAAAGCCTACTCCTTGGTGTGCCTGGGTTTTACTGGCCCGGACCGTCTGTTAGAGATAAGAACAAAGAGGTATGTTTTATTGACTAAAAACTTAAGAAAAGGAACAGGAAGTCATAAGACCTTCCCCACAAGAGTATTAGGCTCTTGCCCAGCTACTTAGAGCTTCAAAGACTAAGGTAAAGAATCTGATGCCCTACTCTCTTCTAGAGATTCTGATTTATAGTACTAGGAAATAAATAATTATAGAAAGGAGATGATTGCTGAGATGATTGTTGAGATGATTATGCCTCTCTTTATTTGTCAAAACCCTTGAGTTAAGCATTCCCATGTATATCCTGATTTGCCTGATTTGCATCCTTCCTTTTTCTGCGTGAGTAAACCCCTTTTGGATGCGTATCATTGCCACCCTCCAAAGAAAACAGCCTTGTCCCCAAGGCTAGAGTGGAAAAATTGCCTTATATTGCCCGGTATCGATTTGGTCAGTTACACTAGGTTCGTTGCTCGTTTCGTCCTCGTCATCCTCTGCTGCAATTAGAGTTCGCAAGGATTTATTCGGGCATACATGAAGCGGACTGTACGATTGCTGACAACGGAAACAAAGTCCCTTGGCGCGCATGTCTCGATACTCTTTGTTAGAATAATGTCGTGCCGGAGCTCGTGACGTTGACGTGCCGGAATTGCGCACTGAAGACTGCATAGCAGGAAACGCAGGTTGTGTTTGGGAGGAGAAGGAAGATGTTTGATTGCTACCAGAGAATTGAGACTGGGTTGGAATGGGTTTGGGCTGTGAATAATTCAAAACAGAATTGGTTTGGGAATGCTTCCCATGCCCATTATACCAAGTAGACCCACCATGTGAATGAATTATCTGGAGCGCTGCATTTTCGTCTTGCAGACTGTTGGAAATATTCTCCTTGAGCAGCGGAATATTCTCCTTGAGCAGCGGAATGTCTCCTTGAGCAGCGGAATATTCCCAACTCTTTGATGTTGGGAATATCTCCTTGAGAAGAGGAGTAGTTGTCTTGGGCAGATTGTTCCATTTATTTTTGTCTCTTCTTTTATTATGTCTGTTCCCTATGCTCTTTCTTTTGCCTATATATTGTGTTGTAATCTGAAGTTCTAAGTAACAATGTAAGATATAGAAAGCACTTTCAGTTCTTCTCCAAGTCTCTTTCAACATGGTATCAGAGCCACCTTTTTTTGGGGCCTGAAAATTACTCCTGTTTCCAACCGATGAACACTGTTCACCTGTCCATCTCCTTCTAGAAATCCTTTTTTTAGCTATCTTGATGATCTGGTGCAGCAAACCTCTGAAGGAAGCTCCGGCGACTCTGGCCCTCTTTTTCCGACCATCAGAAACCTCCACATGCGCCTCCACGCGCCGCCTCCCTGACTGCTCTCCGACGCCACGCGCCTCCACGCGCCGGCGCGTGACATCATCTCCGGCGACCTTTTCCTGCCAAATTTTCCAGATCTTCTTATCTCCTTGCTGCGACCCTACCCTGAGTTTTTCTCATTTTTCTGACCACTATGGCAGGTGAAGAAGTTATTACCAGTGTCCAGAATACTCAAGCTAGAGCAGTTACTCCTCTCCTAGTTCAAACTAAAGTCTATGTTCCAAATCTCTCTGGGAGTTCAACTATCACTACTGAAAAACTTATTGGGTCCCAAAATTATGAAGATTGGGCATCAGCTGTGGAGCTATGGTTTATGGGTCAAGGGGTGGTTGATCACCTCACCACCACAGCTGAAGAAATTCAGAATGAAAGGAATATTTGGGAGAGAGTTGATGCCCAACTATGCAGTTTATTGTGGCAGTCCCTTGCTCCTGATTTAATCCCCATGTTTAGACCTTTCAAAACTTGTTTTTCAGTGTGGAAACAAGCTCAATCTCTTTATACCAATGACATCTCTCGCTTTTACTTCATTGTAAGTGAGATATTAAATATTAAGAAGTTAGAAATGTCCATGGAAAAATTTCTGGGGAAAATCCAAGGACTCATGGCTGAATTCAATAAACTCATGCCTATTTGAGGATCACCCGAAGAGCAACTTACTCAACGTGACAAGTTCTTTGTCGTTCTTACTCTTGCCAAGCTTGAACCAGAATTTGAGCAAGTCCGAAACAGTATACTCGGTGATGGAGCTGTTCCAAACACCAAGGAAATGTTCAAAAGACTTCTTCAAGTCTCTTCTATTCATAATGGAAATACATCATCATCAACCATTACTGATCATTCTGCTCTTACTACTCAAAGTCATCATGGTCACAATAGGGGAAGAGGTCGAGGTAGCAGCCGTGGTGGCCGAAGTGGAGGACGGAATTTTACTCGTTTTTGTGATTTCTACAACAAACAAGGGCACACTCGCGAAGCTTGCTGGAAACTCCATGGAAAACCAACTATGGTTAACATAGTTCAATATGGAGATTCAAATATTGAGGACTCAAATACACAAGTTATCTCAAAAGCTGAGTATGCAGAATTCTTGCAATTAAAGGCTGCCAAGACGACATCTCCCATACTGCTCTTGCTTCACAATCAAACTCAGCTTGGGTTTTAGACTTTGGAGCCACCGATCACATATCTGGTAATCCCTCCTTTTTCTCCCAAATTGATTTCTCAGATTCTCTCCCATCTGTTACCTTTGGTGATGGGTCAAAGGGAAAAACTAGAGGAATTGGAAGAGTCACTATACATTCCTTCTCTTTAGACCATGTGCTTTACATTCCCGGTTGCCCTTTTAACTTGATTTCAATTCATCAGCTTACTCATTCTCTTAATTGCTTGGTTACCTTTTCCTCTGATTTTGTGGTTATTCAGGACCGACAGACGAGGGAGACGATTGGTACGGGGCATGAATCACGAGGACTCTACCATCTTCTATGTTCTACCGAGACCAACACAGCTTGCATAGCTACTCTTTCACCCCTCCTCAACCATTGTCGTCTAGGGCACCCAAACATAAATAAATTAAAACAACTTGTTCCCAGTTTGTCCAATTTAAAAGAAATAGAATGTGAGTCATGTCAACTTGGGAAGCACTCAAGGTCCTCATATCCTAGTAGAGTTAATAGGAGGGCTAACACACCTTTTTCTTTAGTTCACTCCGATGTTTGGGGACCATGTCGTGTTCCAACCACCTTGGGGTTCTCATATTTTGTTGTCTTCATTGATGATTTTTCTCGATGTAGTTGGGTCTTCCTAATGAAAAATCGTGTTGAACTCTTTGATGTGTTCCAAAAATTCTATAATGAAATCAGAAATCAATTTGGAGTTTCTCTCAAAGTCCTTCGCAGTGATAATGCCAAAGAATATTTTTCAGACTCTTTCACTTCATTCTTTTCCTCACATGGAATACTCCATGAATCTTCATGTGCTAGAACTCCTCAACAAAATGGTGTTGCTGAACGGAAAATTCGTCATCTTGTTGAAACAGCCCGCACTTTGCTCATTCATCACAAGGTTCCTAAGAAATTTTGGGGGGATGCTATACTTCATTCTTGTTATCTCATAAATCGAATGCCTTCCTCTGTATTGCAAGGGAAAATTCCTCTTAATCTTTTACTCCCACAGGAACCTCTCTACAAGCTTCCATTACGGGTTTTTGGGTGTACCTGCTTCGTCCATGATTCCTCACCAGGACGAGACAAACTTGATGCCAAGGCAATAAAGTGTGTGTTCATTGGGTACTCTCGCCTCCAGAAAGGTTTTAGGTGTTATTGTCCTAAAACACACCGTTTCTATATCTCCTTTGATGTCACATTCTTTGAAACTACCCCCCTTTTCCTTTCCACTTCAGTTGAAGAATCTGACTTCTTAGGAAAACCACTTGAAGCAACAAAAATTCTCCCTGTCCCTAATTTCACAGAGCCTGTGTCTCCCGATGTTCCTGAAAGAACTACACCAATGCCAACCACTCAAGAAAGACATAGTTCACCTTTTTTATACACCTACCAGCGGCGCAATCGTCAAGGTTCCCAAGAGGATGAATGTTTGGTTGATTCATGTCCCACACAAGCGTTGCCCACTGACACGGTCCAAAATACCACAACAAGCTCTCCCATTGCCAGTCGAGTAGGTAAGCGATCCACTCGAAATCCTTATCCTATTTATAACTTCCTTACACAAAAACGATTGTCTCCGTCATATTGTGCTTTCATTACCAGTTTATCTGCTGTGTCTATTCCCAAAAGTGTCAAAGAAGCATTAACTCATCCAGGATGGAAACAAGCAATGATTGATGAAATGGAAGCACTCCACTCATCCGGAACTTGGGAGTTAGTTCCTTTGCCTCCGGGAAAAACTGTGGTTGGTTGTAGATGGGTATATAAT